TTTACAGGAGATCCCCTGACTTATAATTCCTTGGCTTGAGATCCCTGCTTACAGCCTGTGTTGTAGCATGTATGATTCCTAATGGCTTTAGCTGACAATAATGAAATGAGTGGTCAACTAGCCAATGTACAATGATAAGAAAATGTCTTGAGCTGATTTATGAAGTAGAGAAACAGGCTTCTGAATCAAACAACAATTTGGTCAAGACACTTTTCTACCTTAAAAGACTTAGGAATTGGCACAATAAAATAGAAAAGGAAGATAAATGATTGGCAAAACAACCAAGTTCAGAAGAAAGCTGAAAGCTGTTTTGTAGGACCAGCTTATAGAATAGACTTGACCACCATTCTGGGACCAGTTAGGTAGTATTTTGGTTGTCCCTTATACCCCGCACATAAAAAGGCTCTCTTTTTCTGAAGAACTAGAGCACTTAGAGCCTGAACCATTCATTTATTTTATTTTTTTAAATAAATTTAGTTAGTTAGTTTTGGCTGCATCGGGTCTTTGTTGCTACGTGTGGGCCTTCTCTAGTTATGGCGAGAGGGGGATACTCTTCCTTGCAGTGCACGGGCTTCTCATTGCGGTGGCTTCTCTTGTTGCAGAGCATAGGCTCTAGGTGCGCGGGCTTCAAGACTTGCGGCACGCAGGCTCAGTAGTTGTGGCTCACGGGGCTCTAGAGCACCGGCTCCGTAGTTGTGATGCATGGGCTTAGGTGCTCTGCAGCATGTGGGATCTTCACGGACCAGGGCTTGAACCCGTGTCCCCTGCACTGGCAGACAGATTCTTAACCACTGTGCCACCAGGGAAGTCCCCCATTCATTTATTTATTCAACAAATATCTATTGAGAGCCTTCGTTGGGTCAGGTAGTGTTTTTCTTTGCTGTTCAGCACAGCCTCTAACCTCAGAGGATTGTGAAGGAGACTGAAAGAAACGAAACAAAAAAAACAGAAACAAAGCAACCAAATGTATAATACAGTAAGAGAGCTCAAGAAAAAGCTCTTAACTATAAACAAGCTTGTTTCACTCTTGGTCTCATGTCTTAATCTCCTCCAATGGACTATAAGCTCCTTGAAGGCAGGGACCTCCTTTTATATCTGCATACCACTCAGTACTCAGCTCAGTGACATGTCCACAATGGTTATTTGGACTAAACATCATTGAACATTTGCTAATGGCTTGACTGATAAATACTGAAATGAAACGAGGTTGTGGAGGTATAAAATGTTTGCATTACTTTTTTGTCTCCTGCAAAGGTTATTGGTTGACCATCTGTGCATTAAACCATCACCACCAACAAGTGAGAGTGTCCTCTGTACCATTTTATGCTTGGAAAGAGGAACAGCAGGGCTTTGATTCCTTGATACTCAAAGAGTTCTATGGTGACTTGATTCCTCTCTGCTAGCTAATGGTGCAACCATTATAAGAAGGGGATTTGGCTCTGCCATTACTTAACCACTTGGGGCCTCTGATTCCTTAACTTTGAGCAAGATTAGTGTTCCCTTCTGCTTTATTCAGTACGCATGTTCTTGTTTTATAACTAGCTCAGGTGCAGGGTAAGATGCAGCACCTAGACTGTCCATAAACCCATGGGATGAGGCATGGCTTCTCCCTATGCCTCTGTTGTCCCACAGTAAATTCCCAATCCTTATGAGGTTTTAGTCGCAGTGAATTTTCCCCTCAAAAACCAAAAAGGATAATAATGAACCACTTTCTTGCATTTTCTATCAAGACAGCTCTTTGTGAGTTTTAAATGTTCTGTTCAGATTCAAAGAAGCTGGTTTCTTCATGAGTGGTTGGAATAAGACTTTTCTTGGAAGCTATTGAATATGGATTAGTTGGATTGTTTCGCAGGAAATAAAAAGCAGGCTCTAGGGTGACTGCTTCAGCACTTAATTGGGTTAGCAAAGAACTGCAAATGAGAGGTTTCCCTTAGGAGGGAAAGGATGTTTATAGGCCCCCCCCACCCCACTAGGTGGTGGATTTTAACCTAAACGTTAGTCTTCAAATGCAGCCTTTAATTTAGGAACCATTACAAGAATCTATGAGAGCAGAAAATGTCAGGTTGAAAAATTGACACATCACAGGAGTTAATTAGAACCCAGCCTCTCATTAGATGCAAATGGAGAGCCCTCCAACTGCCCAACAGCCCGCTGAAGTCATGTTTGTTGCCGCTCCAAAGTGGTTGCATCCTTATTACTCAGGGAGTGGACTAAGAAGCTGCCCAGGCACTCAGGCCAGAGCCACTAGGGACCCATGGCCTGTCCTTTAGGTTAACAGAAGGTCTATTCCCAAGTCCCTACCTTCTACTCCTCTCCTAAACGCTCTGCATGTCACAGGGTGGATAGCCTTCTGCCTGGAACTCCCTTGGGGAAGTGTTTTCTGCAACAAAGACAAACATGCCATGCCTGTCACCAGGCGCAGATTGTCGACTGTGTAAACCACTCTCTGAGAGGGAGGCTGAGGCGCTCCAGGCCATTCAGACTTAGTTCTAAGTCGTGGTCTTTGTTTTCTTTCCACATTCAGACTGAAATGTGATTCCCCTGGCTTTCTTTTTTGGAAAATACCTGCGATGAGTTCCATGCTGGGAAAGAAAAGCTGTTGACAGGAAAAGCTTCTGACGGGCAAGGGGCTTTCTCAAGTATTCTCAAAGGAGACAGTCGCTTCAAGCAGGCTGAGGCAGGGATGCCCGAGCTCTAGGAATAAGAGGTTCAGATCACAAAAGTATCATCTTTAACTACGGATTAGGCCAAGTGTCAAGCAGCTTCCTCTGTAAGAGCAGTGCCATGCACACAGACTTCTGGGCCAGGAAGATATGCATCTGAGTCCTTCTCTGTCACTTACTCTGTGTTCTTGGGCAAAGTGCTTAACCTCTCGGAACATCAGTTTTCTCAGGCTGTGTGAAATAAATGACATAATGCATGTACAGTGTGTAAAACAGTATCTGGCACAAAGTAAATGTTCTATATGAGTTATTTGCTATTGACTTAATGGTATTCCTTCACCCAACACCAGTGGGTTCCCTCTGTGTGCCAGGCCCTGTGCGAGGGACAGCTCCTGCTTCTTTACCTCATGGACTCCATTGTTTAATAAACCATGTACACATATCTTTAGCACAAAGCAAGCTCCCCTCCCCTCCCCGCAAGTGCCGTAGGAGAAGTGCCAATCGCACATAGCTCTGCTTTGTCCAGTAGCTCAGAATTCTGCTGACCATCCCCCTTTGGGCAGCCCTCCAAACTCAGCTACCTCTACCTTCAATTTACCCACAACTCTCTCTGTGTGCACTTACACATCGAGTTACAGTTGTCTTTTTATTCTTTGTCTCCTCCTGTGAGTTCCTACAGGGTGAGAATCATCTATTCATTTGATTCATTCATCTAATCATTTATTCATTTCTGTAGGCCAATGGTCTCATGCATTACTCTGCAGAGATGAATGAGCACCACATGAGTGGTACAGAGGCCCTTCCAACTTGCATCCAGCCTCTGCCATATGCCAGACTTAGCTGAAATGGGAGGTTATAAACACACATTCAATCTTGGTCCCTGCCATCAAGTCCCTGGAAAACTGGTATAAGTGTTGGGCCAAAATACCTCAGGAAGAGAGTAGAAAGCTCTTAACCCAGATCCTCAGACCTGGGCTGCAGAAGATGTCCCACAACAAGAACAATAACCAAGTTATTCGGCGCTTAGGATGTGTCAGTGTGCTCAACGATTTACATGCATTATCTCATTTAACTCAGAACAACTGTGTGGGGGGAAATATGAACTTCCTTATTTTATAGATGGCCAGTCTGAGGCTCCGAGAGGCACACTGGCTTGACCACGGTCCTGCAATGAGTAAATGACTTAGGAATCCACCTGCTGAGGGTTTCCCTGGCCCGATTGGAAAGTGGAGAGTGTGGGCTAGCACAAAGCTCCGTCCAAGGAGGGGCGGGTGGGGAGAAGGGCTGGTAGTGAGAGAGAAAAGTTGGATCGAAACACGGCTGGCATGAGCCCCAGGACTCCCGCAGAAGCAGAATAAGTCAGAAAGAGATGCAGGCTGCAGGGGAGGGATGCCCGGGAGGCTGGGGAAGGGGAGCCCCGGCGGTTGTGCGCCTGCTCAGCCCCCCATGCACAGGTCAAGCTTCTCCCCTCCTGCCCTCTCACCCTCCCAACCTTATTTAGAAACCGTGTCCCCGAGACAGGAAGGGCGGCGGGCCGAAAAGCACGGAGCGTCCCGGTCTCATTTCCTTTCGAATCCCCCTGTGGAATTTCATTTCATACGGTGAGGAAATCGGAGCGCGAGACCGTTGGCTGGTCTGCTGCTCCGGGGCGCCTCCCCCATTCGCGGCTGGAGACAGACAGCTCCCGGGTGCAGGTCAGGCCGAGGCTGGGGGCGGGGAGAGGGGGGCGGGCTCCAACCCAAGCAAGCTCGGAGTGAAAATAGCTGCGAGCTCACGCTGTACCAGGCACGGTGCTAAGCATTTTACGCGTTATCTCTAATCCTCCCAAGTCTCTTTACGGATGAGGAAACTGACGCCTAGAGGCTGAGCAATTTGCTCAAGGTCACACAGCCGGCTTTAAAGGCACAATCTTTGTAAATCCAAATCCCGTGTTCTTTGTATACGTTTCTCTGCTTGATGGGGAAGTGGCCACGGGCTGAGGTGACAGCTGGAAGTAAAAAAGGAAAAGGGAGCCGACTCCTCTGGGAGCGCTTCTCACCTGGGAGAGAAGGGGCAAGCTGGCCCGGCTGGAGCGTCTCGGCTCCATCCACGCCTGGCCCCAGAGCACCACGAACCGGGTGGGAGGAAAGTGAGAGCCGGGAAGCGGGGAGGAGCGCTACGGGACGGGAGGGAGGGGCGGAGGAGGGGGGCGGGCGGGCGGGAGCCTGACCCTGCCCAGGGCAGAGCGGCCCCGCCCCTCGCTGGCCACGGCGCCCGGCCATTGGAGAGGCGCGCTGTCCGTCCCGTCCCGCCGCCGCCCAGCAAAACTCCAGCGCCTCGGAGGGTTCGGGTGGTGAGAGCGGTGCGGCGCTGCGTGCTGGCTGGCTTCGCGGAGACGCTGAGCGGCCGCGGCCGGCGCCGGGCTGGGGGCTCGCCGCCTGTAGCCATGACTCTCGCAGTCTGTCCTTCGGCCCCGGCTGGGGGCATCTAATACCCCACACAGTCGCGCGCAGCTGCGGGAGAGCCCGGCCGCTGCCCCCTCGTCGCCCTTGGCGCCTTATCACACTTCCTTTCCCGGAGCTGGGAGCAGCGCGGACAGCCGGCTCCCCCGTGCAAACTGGGGGTGTCTGCTGGAGCAGCCCTCGCCACAGCCGCCTCTGCCCCCCGGCTCTGGCCATGGCCTGGCGGGGCGCAGGGCCGCGCGTCCTGGGGGCCCCCGGGGGCGTCGGTCTCAGCCTGCGGCTGCTGCTGCTCTTGCTGCTGCTCCTGAGGCCGGCGCGGGGCTTCGGGGACGAGGAGGAGCGGCGCTGCGACCCCATCCGCATCTCTATGTGCCAGAACCTGGGCTACAACGTGACCAAGATGCCCAACCTAGTGGGGCACGAGCTGCAGACGGACGCCGAGCTGCAGCTGACAACTTTCACGCCGCTCATCCAGTACGGTTGCTCCAGCCAGCTGCAGGTGGGCGCACCTACCCCGGGCGGGACCCCTTGGGCAGGGACGCCCCAAACTAACTCCGTGGAGCCCTTGCCAAGTCGAGCCCCCTGCCCCCTTCCTAAGTCTGAAGGGTAGTAACTATCCTGGAGAAGTGATTTCCATTCCCACCCCCACTTTTCTGTCCCTTCTCAGGGACTAGAAGCCAAAACATTGTGTAAGTCATCTGGCCTGCGAAAGGACCCACTCTTACACCCCGCCCTTCCGTTTTACTCCCCTGCCCACCCGTGTCTGGCCTAGCCCCTAACCCCAGTGGAGCTGAGAGTTATCTTTGCCAAGGATTCTGGCCGCCGCTGCTCGGTGGGCGAGTCCCAGGCAGGGCAGCCAGCTGCAGCTAAGACTTGGAAGGAGAGATAAGAAGACAGGAACTTATCCTCCCTCACCGACCTCCTTCCTCCCCCCGTATTTTTTGGGTGTGTTATTAAATGAAACACCCCTGCCCCGTTTCTGCAGAATGGCCCCTCGCGTCGTCCTGCATGATTTTAGAGGCCATGAAGTAAGGAATGGCTGCGATGGCTTGAGTTCCTTCTTAGCCTCAGGGTTAAGGGCAGGTTTAGTACTTGGCGGGGGAGAAGCTATCACTTGGGAAAAAGGCGTTAGTATGGTCAAGCTCCAGAAGGTAGTTTGTGTATTGGAAGTTTTGTGGGGTTTTTTTGTTTGTTTTTGCAGTCATTAAAAATGTTAAAGCTTATGTAATAATATAGAAAATGTTCATCCTACCATAAAAAGTGAAGAATTTGCATATACAGGGTGATTATAATCTTATAACAACAACCAGTTCACTTATTTATTTTTAATTTTTTTTGCGGTAGGCGGGCCTCTCACTGTTGTGGCCTCTCCCGTTGCGGAGCGCAGGCTCCGGAGGCGCAGGCTCAGCGGCCATGGCTCACGGGCCCAGCCGCTCCGCGGCATGTGGGGTCCTCCCGGACCAGGGCACGAACCCGCGTCCCCTGCATTGGCAGACGGACTCTCAACCACTGCGCCACCAGGGAAGCCCCAACCAGTTCATTAAAAAAAAAAAAGAACCTAAAGGAAATTTTTAAAAATGTTAACACTGGTTGTGTTTTGACTGGTGAGGCTACGAGTGATTTTTAGAAATTTAGAAAAGAGAGAAGTTGGGGGAAATAGAGGATAGTTATCCAGGCTAAAAGCTTTAGAAATCTGTGGTTCTGGTTGTAACTTTTGAGAGACAAGAAACAGGCAGGTAGCTGACTTACTAGGTGCATGTTTTTACATAGGTCATTTGAAAAGTTGGATTGTGGTTTCAGAAAGATGGTTGGGATTAGACCTGTTGCTGGTAAAATGTCCCTTTGGAAGTTTCCGGACTTTAGAACTAGGTTATAAAAACTTAAGAAAATGATTCTCTAGCTCTCAGTTTGGAAATAGCACATATCCTGACATCAGTGACAATTTTGTTGGCGAAACAGCTTTTGCAGGGATATATATTTTTAATTACATGTATCCTGGGGAGGCAGCCAAGCTGTTGTGAAGGACAGGACTGTATCCCTTTACATGCTGGAAAATAGTTACTTGTAACTCTAGACTTCATAGACAACATCTGTAAGGAGCCAAGCAGACTGTTTATCAATGCTGAAGGAATTGAGGACAGCAACTGGACTCTCCCCTGCTGGTGTTGCAGTTTCAGGGATTGAACATTTATATTTTCCTATTGTGCTTCATTATTATTCTTTGAGGAAACCTGGCCAAACAAACCCCTGGTATCCAGAGGCTTCAACCTGCATCCCATCCTTGGATTTAACAGTATCTCAGTGAGGACATTTTCTCTTTCAATATGAGACTGGTTAAAAAAATAATTTTAGGGGATAAAATAGAGAAAGGAGAGAATATTAACATGAGAAAAGCCGTATCTACTTTTTTTTTTACATTTATTTGTACGGTGATAAAGAAATGGGGGTAAAAATAAATCACCCCATCACCCAAAGGACTGAGTCATTTGGTTAGTCTGTCCAGCTGTTTCAAATAGTAGCTGAAAGGGGAGGGAGACTCAAAGTCAGCTTTTTAAGGTTTATTTCCCTAAGTGTTGTGCAAAAAAGGGATTATGTAATTCTTCGGGTCCCTTTTATATATTTATTTATCTATGTTCTCCTGGAAAGGATTACTAGACCCAAAAGAAAAAAGTGTGCAAGTGATGGATTATTAGGTACATTTGTCTGAGGTCAGAGTCAACAGACACCCCGTAGACTGATTTAAAAGTAGATGCGTACTTTGCCCAGAAGCATTCAAGTCAGTTTTGTGCAAGCCTTTGGTCAAACTTCCAAGTCATTGTTTTCTTTGCTCATTTCATGACTTTTCCAGTTCTTCCTTTGTTCCGTGTATGTGCCCATGTGCACAGAGAAGGTCAATATCCCCATCGGCCCCTGCGGCGGGATGTGTCTTTCGGTCAAGAGACGTTGCGAGCCTGTCCTGAAGGAATTTGGATTTGCCTGGCCAGATAGCCTGAACTGCAGCAAATTCCCACCACAGAATGACCACAACCACATGTGCATGGAAGGGCCAGGTGATGAGGAGGTGCCCTTACCTCACAAAACCCCCATCCAGCCTGGGGAGGAGTGCCATTCCGTGGGAACCAACTCTGATCAGTACATCTGGGTGAAGAGGAGCCTGAACTGCGTTCTCAAGTGTGGCTATGATGCTGGCTTATACAGCCGCTCGGCCAAGGAGTTCACCGATATCTGGATGGCCGTGTGGGCCAGCCTGTGCTTCATGTCTACTGCCTTCACTGTGCTGACCTTCCTGATCGATTCTGCCAGGTTTTCCTACCCAGAGCGCCCCATCATATTTCTCAGTATGTGCTATAATATTTATAGCATTGCTTATATTGTCAGGCTGACTGTAGGCCGGGAAAGGATATCCTGCGATTTTGAAGAGGCAGCAGAACCTGTTCTCATCCAAGAAGGACTTAAGAACACAGGATGTGCAATCATTTTCTTGCTGATGTACTTTTTTGGAATGGCCAGTTCCATCTGGTGGGTTATTCTGACACTCACTTGGTTTTTGGCAGCGGGACTCAAGTGGGGTCATGAAGCCATTGAAATGCACAGCTCTTATTTCCACATTGCAGCCTGGGCTATCCCTGCAGTGAAAACCATTGTCATCTTGATTATGAGACTGGTGGATGCAGATGAACTGACAGGCCTGTGCTACGTGGGGAACCAAAACCTTGATGCCCTCACGGGCTTTGTGGTGGCTCCTCTCTTCACTTACTTGGTGATTGGAACCTTGTTCATTGCTGCAGGCTTAGTGGCCTTGTTCAAAATTCGGTCGAATCTTCAAAAGGATGGGACAAAGACAGACAAGTTGGAAAGGCTGATGGTCAAGATTGGGGTCTTCTCAGTCCTGTACACGGTGCCTGCAACCTGTGTGATTGCCTGTTATTTCTATGAAATCTCCAACTGGGCGCTGTTCCGCTATTCCGCAGATGACTCCAATATGGCGGTTGAGATGTTGAAAATTTTTATGTCTTTGCTGGTAGGCATCACTTCAGGCATGTGGATTTGGTCTGCCAAAACTCTTCACACGTGGCAGAAGTGTTCCAACAGATTGGTGAATTCTGGGAAGGTAAAGAGAGAAAAAAGAGGGAATGGTTGGGTGAAGCCTGGGAGAGGCAATGAAACTGTGGTATAAGGCTAGCCAGCCTCCATGCTTTCCAGATTTTGAAGGGGGCATGCCAGCATTGCAGTGCAAATGCTACTAAAAGCTTCATGCAGTGAATCTCAGTTTGAACAAGCTAGCAACACTTAAGTGACCCCCATCACCCTCCACCACTCTCCCCCGTCTCCCCCCAGCATCATAAAACTAATGATTTTGCTGCGGACTTTGGAATGATCCAAAATGGAAAAGCCAGTTAGAGGCTTTCAAAGCTGTGAAAAATCAAAACATTGATCACTTTAGCAGGTCGCAGCTTGGAGCGTGGAGGTCCTGCCTAGATTCCGGGAGGCCCAGGGCGATGCTGCTTTTCCCTGCAGGGTGGGATTTGAGCTGTGAGTAGGCAACTTGCAGGGAGAAAGATTAACTTTTTTAACCCTTTAAAAATTTTAAATACTAACTGGGTCTTTCAGATAGCAAAGCAATCTATAAACACTGGAAACACTGGGTTCAGAGAAGTGTTACAAGAGTTTTATAGTTTGGCTGGTCTAACATAAACATTTTCTGTGGTGTACTGTCTGCTGTTTAGAACTTTGTGGATTGCTCTCCCAAGAGGTGGTGTCAGAATCTTTCAGTGCCTTTGTCATAAAACAGAATTGTTTGAACAAACAAAAGTACTGTACAAACACACATAAGGTATCCAGTGGATTTTTCTTCTCTCTCTTCTTCTTAAATTTCAACAGCTCTGTCCTAGGCTGCTGCTGTTTTCTCCATTTTACGTTAATGGCTCAAAAACAGGTATTTTTTATAGGAATTTTTGCACTGCAGCATGCCTAATGAGGGGGAAAGGAAGGGTGATTCACTTTCTTGACAATCACTTAATTCAGAGGAAAATGATATTTACCAAGTCGACTTACCTTACCCACCCCAGAGACCGACTGCATTGAGCAATGGGGACTTAATATATTTTACTTTGTGTGATTGCATCTATGCAGACGCCAGTCTGGAAGAGCTAAAATGTTAAGTTTCTTGGCAACTTTGCATTCACACAGATTAGCTATGTAACTTGTGTGTGTCAATTACAATTAAAAGCACATTCTTGGACCATGACATAACAGTTACTCAGCTGACTTTAAAGCTATGGTCAGCTTGCATTCTCAGAATGATAGTGCCTTTTTTTTTCCTTTAGCATAAGAATGTTATCAGAGTCTGGTCTACTTACCACAATGGAGACTTTTTCAATTTTGTAAAGGGAGCTAAGGACAGCTAATCCAACTACTTGGTGCATAATTATTTCCTAGTAATTGGCAAGGGCTCCGTGTAAGATTTCCTTGGAGGCAGTGTGGTCTGGAGTATTTATATGGTGCTTAATGAATCTCCAGAATGCCAGCCAGGAGCTTGATTGGTTCATAGGGAATCAAGTGTAGACCATATGAAATGAACTGCAAACTCTAACAGCACAGGTCTTAATTGCATTTTGCAGAGGTATCCAGAGCTTTTAAAATTTATGCTTTATGTTCCTTGCAAGGGGGTACCCCCTAGCAGACTCTCAAAAGCTGCGATTCTTTTAAAATTGTAACTGGCCTTTCCCCTAACCCGCCTCAGGCCCTCTAATCACCAGATCTCTGGGACAAATTATTGACGATGTCACAGGTTGCTGTCCTTGAAGTTCATGCCTGTCTTTGCTTCAGCAACTACCTTGCAATGACTCATTTATTTATTTATTCATGCTCCTCCCCCCTTTAAAACAGGTAGGAAAGCTCTTTTATCACATTTCTTTGTGGAAAAATATTTCCAGGGACTCAAAATTCCAAAGAGGAGTTCAAATTCTGGAAATAAGCATGTCTTTTTTTGTTTGAGCTTTATGCCCCCTGGTTTGACATTTTCCTTTCTTCTTTCTCTCTTGTGGTGTGGTTCTTGACCTGTCTGAGATGAAGATACACGTAAGGTCTGTTGTATGTTTTGGAAGGCAAAGTCTTGGGGCTTTGGGCACAGATGCTGAGTGGGCACCGGTGTCCCCTGCTGTGTGTGCTGAGCCTGAGTACCTTGGCTGGACTCTGGGTCAGGGCTCCAGGAGCATGAGAAATGATCCCCAGAAGGACCAGTTGAACTCCATCTGAGACTGCATCGCCTATGAAATGTAAAATGTGAACGCCCCGTGCTGCTTGCAGATGGTTCCCATAGCTGGCCGGGGCCCTGGAGCATGCACCCAGGGGCAGAGCCTGCCCTTACTCACGCTCCGCTCCAGTGTCTTGGGAGTTGTGCGGAGACTCTGGCCCAGGAAAGGAAAGAAGGACCAGGCAGGGGATTGTAATGCAGTTCTCTTTGTAATGTTTCAGTGATCGCGTGACCGTCGCAGCATCTAGCAGAGGGCCCGGCATAGAAAGGGTGCTCAATATTTATGAATAGTAACAAATAAGTAACAATAAGAGTACTTGGGTGAACCTGGACCCCCAAGTTTTGGAGCTTTCTGGGTTGTAACGTGTGTCTTCCATAAATCTCTTGCCTTCACAGGAGAAATATATATTTGATCAGAAGTCTCATCGGTGTAGAATAGAGGAGTAGCCTTGGCAATGTCACAGGCTTATAGGCCGTTCCTTTCACATTCCAGACCACTGAGAGTGTTTACGGTTTTAAGAAAGGAACTTTGTGGCCAAGAGTTAGATATCAGTTACCTTGAAACGAATCCATCACCTGTTAAGTTGGTATTGGTTTTAAAAAAGGTTAATTATCAGCACATTTATTGAGTGCTAACTGTGTGTAAAGCCCTGTGTTAGGCACCTTAGGGGATGTCAGGGAGGATCAGCTCTGTTCTTCTAACCGACCTGGACTGGGATGCCCCTGGGTCTGCTGAACTTGGCCATTGGTTTCAGGAAGTCGCAGGGGCTACTGAATTGCCATCTGTTCCACGGTCACCATCCCATAAACCTCCTCCTGGGTCTTTCTCCCTTTAACCCATCACTTATCCCTTCCCAGGATTCCTTGCAAGTCGATTCACAGGGGTTTTGCCAGAAAGCATCAGCTCTGTTTCATGACAGTCTCCGTGGAAATCTCCTAGGAAGATCACAAACATTGGCTACAAGGACATGAACTCCCACATCTAATGTGGCTTCGGGAGCAGGCAGTTTAGGGCTTGGGGTGTTCTGATGACTCGTACAGGTGAATTTGAGGACAGCATCTTGCTAGGGAAAAGGTTAGCGTTCTTTTTCTTTCTCGGAAATCTAGGATAAGTAGGTATAATTATAGCTTCCTACAAAATCCCTTGGCCTCAACAGGGACCAAGGGCACCTCTGTCCAGCCTCCTCTCTGGCAAACTCCTTTCTCCTCCTTCATAAAGGCCACACCTCAGGGCAGAGGAGCATGGGAAGAGTGGAACTGGCCAGGACCGCCTGATGGAGCTACTTGGTTGATTCATATCCTTTTTCCTCTATGGAGACCCGTCTTCTGATCTCTGAGACTGCTTCTGATCTGGCAGCTTACTCAGGGACCTGGAACAGGAGAAGCGGTGACACTTTTTATTTCCCTGAGATGCTCTCTGACTTTGCTTTCCCCTGGCCCTCCGTCCCCTGCATCCTCCAAACCTGGAACCTGGGAAACTTCCGTATCTAGGTTCTGAACTGTGATGTTACCAGCACCCCCAGCCCTGTCCTCTCTGGCCCCCCTCAGCCCCCTGGTCACGGAATTCAGTGTTGGGAACCAAGCCGAGGCCTGAGGGTGTAAAGAGAAACTAGACAGCCTCAGCCCTGGAAGGCAGACTTAACTTAAGATTTCACCAGGATGGTGCAAGCCTCGGCTTCTAGCGAGGTGGCCACAACGGCAGTTAGGGGAAAGGGCTGTGGAGCCCAGACTCTGGAAGGAGCCCCCAGAATCGATCTGTTATACATCCTGCATTTCATTCTATGATGGAAGAGATTGGAGAGAGTTGCTGTTCCAGGCAGAGATGTCGAGTCGTTGGACTCTGATGGTTCTTTTTGTTCCTTTATTATACTTGGGTTCAGAGTCCCCGTCTGGGTTTGTATTATGTCTGGCAAAGGACCCGGGTTCTCATTTTTCTTCTGGGCCTAGGCTGTAGATCTTGGAAACTCCTAGGAGAGCATTTTGCTCCTACCAAGGATCAGATACCAGAGCCTTAAATAATGGATTTTGTTTCGCTGCGGCCTGGTTTGGACTGTCTGCTTCTGCCTCTTGCCACGCACATGTGCAGTGATGGCCCACTGGGTGTTACCTGGAGGGAAGTGAACCCTGGATCTCCCCAATAGGCCTCTTCTCCTTGGTACACCCAGTTGCCTGTTCCTGGTTTGCCTTATTTCCCTTCTTCTTTGCATCAGCAAATTCCCAGTATTCACCAAGGCAACTTGTAGAGGGCCTGCTTGGGGTCCTAGGAGCCGTGTCCTCCAAGCTTTCGTAGCTCCCTGATCGCCTACAATATTCAGTACATGACCACTGTCATCCCAGAAGACTTCCGGGGAGGGGGCGAGAGCCCCTGCCCCCTGGAGGCTGGGTCCATCTGCTCTCCCAGGTGTGCACCTTCCCCCATCCTGCTGAGGGCTCGGGCTGGTATGGCTGAGGGTTTGGGGAGGGGAGGCTGCTTTCCAGGTGTCTCCCTGTGGGACATCTAGGTGGTCCTGAATTTTTTCCTACCTCACAGGGATGTTGTGAGACTTTAGAAGGAAGGAGGACAAAGGCCCCTCGAGCTCTTTGTACGAAAGGCAGAATAAATATCAGGTGTGATCTATGCAGAGATGAAATTCGGCCTGCTGGTGAGGCAGACACGCTTGTGCTCTGTGGCTGTTCTCGGGGCCCCGTGCCACCCGAGCTCTGGCCACCTCGAGGCCTAACGGAGGAACTTTCAGATGTTCGACACAGAGGTACCAGGCAAACCCTCCTACATGCCCTGAACGAGTTGCTGAACGTCAGAGGAAATGGACCCTGCTTTTGAGGATGTACAAACGTATGTCTGCATTGATGTCTGTACTGTAAATTTCTAATTTATCACTGTACAAAAATAAATAAATAAATAAACTTTGCTATTTAATTTTTGTATCAAAGGAAAATAAAGTTTTGTTTAGTAGCTGGTGTGTCATTTGGCCTATTCCTGCAGTTGTCTGAAAGCCCCTGGGAAGCATGCTTACCCAGCAGTGAGAAAATAGAGAATTGGGTTTGCAGGGCAGAGGGAGAGCCTCTTTCGGAGAGCCTTGTCTTTTTTTTTTTCTTTTATATGCTGGTGCTATTTTCCCCCCACCCCTGGGATTTCTTTTGGGTCAGCAAACCCCCGAGATCCAAAATCAACAGACTTTATCACTACTGTGGTCATCGGTAACACTCAAGTGGTCACTGGATACTTTGGATATGACTATAGTTCTCAAGCTGTCACCCCATGACACCCCTTTTTGGCATTTCCAATACATGTAACCATTTTTACACACCTTCCCAGTCCCCTTGACTTAATCTGGCAGCCTGAAAAAAGTTTCCCTATCACTGCTAGAGCTTCAGGCATCTTGAAAAGGGGAAAGAGAGCTTTTTTTTTAACTTAAGATTTTCATTAAAAGTTTTTTTATTTTTCTGGTTACAAAATGGTTCTGTTTCGCGTAATAGACATGGGAGTACGTTGTATCAGTCAGCCAGGAAAATGACTTTAGCTAAATTTATAAGTTGGGTGGTCTGTGTCCCCATATCCAGAAAAGTCATCAGACAAAGCAAATTCAAGGCCATTAGTAGGACACTGTCATGGGAGCAAGTAATATTATGGACCACACAGACAGAGGGTAGGGAAGTCACTGCCATTGGAGACGGCTGCTGGTGTCCCAGAGGAGAACATCAGCCCTCTTGGTTTGCCTTTCAGTTGCTTTCCACCCCTTCGTCTCACCTGAATACCACCCTGTTTTAGTGTGAGTAAAAAGCCCAGGGAGCAAGAATCTGCAATGCTGTTCTCCTTTGCTGCAGCTCGCTATTGTATTTTATCTCAAACCGTACCTGAAAGGAGGCATGTAATTTAAATTCTCTTCCCTGTAAGACCGGCTGTGTTTCTCGTTTCCTTACCTACTCATTATGTAGTTATGACGTTAAGGAAAATTCAACCCAAGCTGGAATGAATTCATAATCCATTGCA